AGGGTATCTCAGAGCCACGTGGTTGACTAAAAGCAGTTGCCGGGCCACTGTTGCGGGGCGGAACCAACACGGCCAGCATACACCAATGATGACACAAAAAAAAACATAAATATTTGTAAAAAGGCCATTTGTACAAAGACCAACAGCTGGCGAACCACCCGGGACCCGGGGGTTGTTTTTCGATTAAAGGCATGCTGACCACGATGACAATCCGAACTTGTATCCGCTGGGGACGACATTTTTTTTCCTGCGTTACCGTCGAAGGCTGTGTATAGGCCTCCCTACACTAAAACGACTGGAAACGCCAGACGTAATTAATTATAAAAAGACGACATCCCGCGGCTGGTCAAGAGAATGCCGCCAAGAATAACCCACAGCAGCAGTAATGACCACCGTTAGGCTTCACCTTGAATCTGTTGGCATTTCGCATGCAGGATCCTCGACGCCACGGCAACGCGGACTTCTACAGCTATGGCGCCGTTGATTGGCGATCGCAGTGCTGTGGGGTTTCGGAGCGACGCGCAGATAATGTTCGAAGGATGAGCGTGTGTCGGTCAGGAAATATGTACCAGTGTCATAGGGGGTGTATTTGCAGTCGCCAGCGTCAAAGGACGCATGTCATCGTTAAACTCGCCAGAGTATCGGCCCAATACACCTCCCGACTAGGGTTGTGAGACGGCTCTGTGTTCTTCACGGAACCCACAACTAACGTCGCATATGCATATGAGGAGCACGTGTCGACTCTTGTATGCTATCATTGCGGGATACGACAACCTGTGTAGGCTCCCGAAGAGGCATGTATAATGTATAGTGGTGCCGGCGTGTGTTGCACGCTCTATTCATACTGCTGAACGTATTTCAGCGCCACCATAGTACCTTCGTGTCGTTCCCATACAACGACTGCTGCTGTATGCATATGCAGACACTGCTGTACCTACTGCTGTAGAATAAGTGCTCCTGCGTGTATGCTTGCCCTGGCTGCATGTTTCGATGAGGGAGTTTTTTCTTGAAAAAGATAGCAGACAAACAGCAAGGCAGTCTGCAGCAGTAGTGTTTCTCCTGGGTTTTCGACTCGCTCTTCCCCGTTGTTCTCTACGTATACATGAGAGGAAGCCTTTCGCATACCAGCCGTGGGCGGCTGCATTTACACATCAACACTCACCGCCGAAGAAGGCGTTGACTGCCAGCGGAGGGCGGAGTAGCTCGACAAGCTTGTGGAAGGTGGCCTTCTCCATGCGGTACGACCGCCGCCAGCCTTGCCGTTTATCGAGGTCCGCCTCGTGTTGGGCCCACGGAAGCCGCTTGGGCTCGTAGATGGGCTCCCGTTCCTGAGGGCAGTGGGCACGATGAGCTTCTCCTGCTGCCACCACGCCCGCCGCCACTACAGAAGACCCAGGATTGTGAGAGATCTCCTGTGTTCCTGGGCTGCACCGACCTCGTCGATAGCTCCTCGACGGCGCTTCTCCCGGCGTTGCGCTGCGGGCCCCTGGGGATGCTGGCGCTTCCGGCGCTCAGCCATGGTAGTGGAGTTGCCTCGGGAAGCGGTTTGGGGCGTTGGTGGTGCTGCCTAGGTGTGGTGTGATGAAGACAGCACGCGTGACCGGTGTCTGCTCCGGTCGTCGAAAAAAGCGGGAAATTTTTCACCGAACAGTAAAAGGAGCAAGCCCAGAAAAAATACGCTTCGCTCTTTTTACGGAAACGTAGAGGAACGCCTCCATATATTTCAAGAAAGTACGGTTTCGTAACCGAATACGTATTTTTTCGGCCTGATAATAATACCCCTAAAATACACATTATATTGTACACGGAAGGCGAAAGAAAGTGGTGTTGTATAAGTATGGATGACATGGCTGGGTCACACAGCACTACTACGGCGCTAATACCTGCAACACATACGCCGTCCACCAACGAACACGCCGACCACACAGGACCACACACACGATTTACAGGTACGAAGTGCTACTACTGACATACAAGGAAGAAGAGCCGACAACAAAACAAGTACTGCGGGGAAGGGATGGCGTGGACACATTCCGCAGCAGTGCATCTATCTACCTGTAGCAGGCACGCCAACCACCAACTTACACGCTAACTATCCACGTACGATCACAGTGAAAATACGCCTACGAGTACACGAAACTCACGTCTTGAGATCTGGTGCACCGGCGTTACCCTTCTGAGACTGGATCGTGTTTTTGCTGACATTGAACGCTCTCCGATAGAAAGCTGAGCACACGAGCTGACGACCCGCTACCATGGCACCGCCGCTGCAGCCAGGATGAACTGAAGGGATCATGGTGTGTACGAAACTCGATCTGCTCTTGCCGCTCAAGCCGCTCATGATGCGTTGCTCCGCCCGCAGGCTCGCTACGTCGGCCTTTCCAAGCACAAACGCCTCGACGCATCTCAGTTTGTTGCAACACATGAAGCCATCACTCACCATCTCGTCCACGTCGACCACCTCGGAGACGTGCCTTCTCTTCTTCGACGCGGCGGGCGGGTGTGGATCGACATTCTCGCTGTCGGTTGAGGACGCGGTGTGCACTGGACTGGGTGACGACGAGACGATTTGCTGCTGCTCAACAGCTACCGGCTGCAACCACCGAAGAGCAGCTTTGGGAAAGGGCATCCCGATGAAGAAAAGAGTTGTGTCTTTGGATACTAAAATTGGAATGAAGTGGAGGTGAGCTGGGGGGGGCGGGAACGGGCTGGACTTAGATTGCAGAACAATTCGGAGGAGTGAAAAGGTAAAAGGTCAACGGTATCCGCAAGCTGGGTATCATGTACGTTTAGAGTTGAGTATATAGCTTTTTGGGCCTGGTGACCTCTTCGTTTTACTCTCGGCAGGATTATGAATTTTGGGGACCACAATAACTTCGGATTGTTTCCCAACAAACTATTCTAGAAAAGAAAGGTGCGGATGAAAGCCGTTGTGAACTATTCGTTCCTCCTGTGATATATGATATTGGTCCTCCCTTTAAGCGGGTTTGTCGCCCGTACGAAGCGTTGGCCACGCGTGTGAAAAGAATATTTCGCACATTTTGACAAGAATAGTTCAGGCTGGAATAACAATTAGAAAGGGCAGAATCCGCGACCATGATACATATATGTTTGGTTTGGGAGTTTTCCTCGTCCCCTTACAACGTGTTGTCGACGACTGGAATCGGAACACATATTCGGAAAATTGACCGCGCATTATGGGAGATAGATAAATATGTAAACATATGGATCTTCATTCCGCCGTGACCAAGAGGTCACTCTGCTCCCACCCAAGCCCCAAGCCCCAAGCCCCACCCCACACACACCCACTCCGTCCGCCATCCCCGCCCTCCCGTTATTGGTTCTCTTTCCCCCCCGCACCCAGCGGCTCACGTCTCAGCCGCCGGCTGGGCACGATGCTCTCCCCACCTCGACAGCGGCCGCGCCTGTGACGACACCCGCCGCTTCGGCACAACAAGACGGTCTCCCGCCCGGGCCGCCATCATCGGCGGGCAGCATGAACCAGGTACTACAGGCCAACTTTCTCGGGGTGCACAGGCTGAAGGTGAAGCAGATAAAGGGCACCGAGTACACTAGGCAGTTGAGCAAGGTGGGCGTCAAGAGCGTGAAAGAGTCCATTGAGGCCAGGGGTTGGCAAAGCGCTAACTCGCCGTACGTGCTAGTACCTCGTGAGCAGTTGCCGGATGGCAAGCAGACAGTCTGGAATAGCGATGTCCTGTCGTCGCTGGAGGTTTACTGCCTGGATGGCAATCATCGCCTGCGAGCCCTCACGATCCTTTACGGCGGCGAGTTCGAGCTAGAGTGCCGGTGCTACCTACATTTCGACGATGCTGTCATGGTCAATGCACTGGCGAGAAGTGAGTCTGTTTCCCGCACTCCATTTAGTTGGATTGCCACGACGTGTTTCGATCTTCTTGTCGCCTACGTGCATGAAAAAAAGGTAGCCAGATGATGCTGATCTCAGCTGCTGATTCACATCATCAATCACTTGTACAAAAGGTTTCTTCGTGTTTGACCAATACACTTCTTCAAAACGCATGTACACGCCCATGTACCTCCTCTCATTTGAACTCCGCACGAAAAGGAAGTTGGATGACAATTTAGATGAGTGTAGCTTGATGAAACCAGCGAGGGTGGAGAGTTGTTCCTCTAGTGTACATCACATGCTTGACCTCCGCCGCTGCTCCTCCCGCGTGTTGGTACATGTCGTCACCGCGAAACTACTCACATCGAAGTCATGCAAGATTCAACACTTCACGCAGCGTATCGCCGGAATACATTGCAGGCGTGAACAACACGACGGAGGCGACCGCTAAGACGACCACGTACGATCGCATCTTCTCCTGCAAGAAAGCGCTGGAGGCTATCATGGCTGCAGAGAACCTCGGAAACGACGCCTCCAAAGTGACAGCTAGAATGCTGTCAGACGCTTACAAGAAGGTGCTCTCTTTTCCAACCTCCGCGAATGATAGATGGACATGTGTCCGTTGATTTTTTTTTTGCTCCGTAGTCGTCTGCTCAAAAAATGCACGGATGTCGGTGTATCGTTGATGTGTGTGTTCGTTTAAAGACAATCGGTAAATCTCAAAAGAATCTCCACAAGAAAATGCCGAGACTCGCAACCGTGAACAATAATAATCAACAGCAGGGGATATGAATGAAATACAGATAACTCATATGGGGTATCATGGCACAATAAACACCTGAAACACCAAGAAGGTAACTCTGTCGAGTATTATTATCGTTTGTGGCACGGTTTAGTGTGAATAGTGCGAATGAATATTCATTATTACACGGTGTCTTTCACTCATTGACGTTCTTCCAGTGCATTTGTATTTCCCATGCAAACTCAAAGTACGACGGACTTCATTTGTTTCGTAATTATTTCGCGTTTGCTTGCCTGTCCCGATGTAGCTTTGCGCGTGCTGTTTTGATGGAGAGGGTTCGGCCCCGAACCATATGCTTCGTGGTATTTCTCCCCACGCCCGTACTGTGGCCCCTATTATAGCGAGTGCCCACAGTGTACACAACGTTCATCCATGCACGTTCTTTCCCGCGTTGTGGTGGTGCTATTCTTGTGTCGTATTGCTGTACATTTGTTTTCGCAATACACTCGAAGAGCGGAGACGCCCCCCCCAGCAACCCGAGTCTATGCAGTCACAAGAGGCTCGTGATAGGACTGAAGGAACCTGCGTTTGCGTCGCTCAAGGAGGTGTCGGAGAGCGAGGAAAAAGGCGTGGACATGCANGTACATTTGTTTTCGCAATACACTCGAAGAGCGGAGATGCCCCCCCCAGCAACCCGAGTCTATGCAGTCACAAGAGGCTTGTGATAGGACTGAAGGGAGCTGCGTTTGCGGCGCTCAAGGAGGTGTCGGAGAGCGAGGAACAAGGCGTGGACATGCAGAGTTTGTCGAAAACCCTTCTCGACTGTGACGCTGTGCTGAAGTTCCCCTTTGGGCGCGACTTTGAACAGTCGCTCCTCATCCACATCCTAGCAAGGTATATTATTGGTGCGTCAAGCACACAGTAGTGAATGAATGGTGCTCGTAAGTGCTTTCGTGTTCTCGCTCGTGATATTATTACGACGAGTGTCAGTCTTGCGTTTGTGTCATACATAGCTGTTCGGTAAGTTGGGTATTCTTTAGCTCATTACATGCTCCTTGCAGGTGCCTGCAACATCTTTGGTAACCATTCATCCCAAACAAACGTTCACGCTGGTCGTACAACCCGGCAGGTTCAAGTCCAACGACCCACGAAAGAAGATGCCCGTCAAGAGTGACCTCCCCAAGCTAAGGCAACGTGCCCTCGAAGCTGGAGATTTACACAAGCTCGTGACCTCCGTCATCCCGTTCTATCACTGGAGTCCCGAGTTCCACAAGTAAGTGAGCGGCTTGTGATGCGTTGACTTTTGTATCGGTACTCGGGTGGTGTGGTGCGTGGCGTGGTTCTTCGTGGCGTCATGGTAGGGAGTGCGAACATCGGGAGGGAAGAATGGGTAGCGGGAAGCTTTGCAACGCCGCTANGTGGGGTGCGTGGCGTGGTTCTTCGTGGCGTCATGGTAGGGAGTGCGAACATCGGGAGGGAAGAATGGGGAGCGGGAAGCTTTGCAACGCCGCTCGACGCGCGCACGCGTACCTCACGAATAGTCCGAAACCTTCCCAACATCTCCTTTCCACAGAAATCCGGGTCGAACCGACAGAAAGTTGCGTCCCCCTTAACGGCGTGCGCGCAGGGCGTTTTTCGCGATAGTGTACGGTAGGCACACGGACTGAGAAACGTGGGGGATTGGCCGCATGCAAGACAGAGACAGGGAGGTGGAGCACCTTTCTGGATTGTTGAAGAGAGGTACCCAGCTGACGGAGGAGCATGTCTGTATCAAGTCGAAGCTCACCAACAAGCTCGATAAGGTGGGCGTACCCGTGTCCTTGTTCTCATGCCCTCGTGGCATGCGTTCTTGTTCCCTCAAGAACCGTTGTATAGAAACCGTACGCTGCTAGACGCTGCTCTACATCACAACCTACTATTCTGCAGCAGTTTATTTCAACGTATGTTGGAGTGCATGTTTGGACATGCAACGTTACAATACTCGCTATTTGGGTTACTAGGTGCCTAACGGTGCCGTTCCGCCCGTTGCGGCCCGAATCGTTCACTAAATTCTCGACGTTGCTGCCTGTTCGTCGCATTTTCCGAAGCTTGCAAGGAAGAGTTCGGACATGCGACCCTTCATGGACGCGTGGGATAAGAGGATGTCTGACGTCGACGTCTTCGTCCAACAGCACGAGGGAGACACCTCCTCCTCGTCCTCCTCCTCGTCGGAGGAGGAGGAGGACGACGAGACGCCTGAGTCCCGAGCTGGCGACGTGTGCAATCCGTCCCCTCCCTCTGATGGGTAAGTATATATCGTTTGTGTCCCCGCGAGTACGGGCATGTGGTTTGAACCTCAAGGAATACTAATGAATGAAAGTTCTTTTCTTTTCGGAACTCAGCGTGAAGGGATGGTTACTACAGTGCAGTGCAAATGCTGCAACCGCTAGAAGAGTACTCTCAGTAGTATGTCTTTTTGTAGGGGGCGAAGGAGCAGGAGGAGGGGCTTTTTTTTTTTCGCTGTCACGACTACTTCTCTTTTTTAAGGTCGACTGATATATGACGCAGCAAGGTTTGTACCCTGAAGTATGCTGCTATACTCACACACTGTTTCTTGACTTCTTTTAAGCTCCGCCCGTTGTAGAAACGTCTACATTTGACGTCGTCGACGTATGTATCCGAACGGCATTGTTTCTCCCGCTTCCCTCGTTCTCGTTGCATCATGAAATCACTTTAAATCATCTTATCTCTTCTTTGTATGTGCATGGATCCCAGGTCAAAATGCGCCAAGTGCGGCATCCTCCACCTAGAGTCGTGCAACGTCATCGTCAAAGAAGGCGACAGGGCTCTCGTGTGCAAGGACTGCACAGAAGACATCGACTCCGGTGATGACGGAGCACGCGCTACAAAGAAGCGGAGGAAAGGCGAGAAGGTCACGTTGCCGGAGGGCGACAGCACTGTGGAGGTGGATACGAGCATGTAAGGACCCCACGTCTCCTTCTTGGAAGTATTGTCGGAGTTGTTGTGGTTTAGCTCAAGCAATGGTGATGAATGTCAGCAATTTGCCTCAACATTCGATATTATTTATGCGGAAGTTTAAGCTGTAGCCTTCGACGAAGAAGGTTCCCTTGAGATCCTCTTGTTATTCTTCACTCCCCTCGCCCTTGTTTTGACAGTGCTCTCGGTATGGTGTTGGTTTTTGGACGTCCTTGCAAGTACTCTTGTATTCACGCGTTCACGCTGGGTGCTACACCCTAACTGTTTGATGACCGCCCTCGTAACCACCTTGGCCCTGTGTACCTTGCCCAACCCTACCTCGTTTCGTGCAGGTCGCGGAACACGGTTGTCCACGCAGAGGAACTTTTTGCCTCACGAACCAACACGTACACGGGCGGCTCTCCGCTCAAGACCTACAACCGCCCCAAACTTGCCATCGTCGACCTCACGCGCCAGGACTTCTTATTCAAGGACACGCCGGCCTCTAAAAACGTCTTGAAGAATGCTGTTGAGGGCCTTATGGAGGTGTTGGACGAGAAAGGGACGATTGCGTGTGCCATCCCTCGTCCCTGGTATTTTAAAGGCAACCTGCTTGTGGGTGCGTGAGCTTTTCGATTCGTGCCTAAAGGCGTATATTGTGTGTTGGTGATACAAGTTGCTTACATTTGAGGATTTTCCGTTCATTTGTAGTGGGCGTCAAAACGAGGAACAAACTGTTTCATGTTGGGTTTGTGGGTGTTTGAGTCGTCCTCATTTCGTCTCGCCATGGTATCGCGTGGCGTGTGGTTTGCCGATAAATCACTGATGATACCTTGTCACTTCCTTCCGCAACTTATTGCGTCTTGCAGGGGCCTTCAAAGAATTCCCCGACAAGTTGTTCATCGATCCAACTCCGGTCGTCATCTCCTACCAGAGCGTCTCTGGAGGCGCTCAACACAAGAGCCACGAGCTGCTGCACCGCAACCAGCAGGAACACGTGCTGATGGTGCATCGCGCACCTCCAGCTGCAGGTGGCACAGTGAACTTCACGTGCAACAGACGTGTTGTGGTGTCGGATGTGTTCGGCCACTCGCGAGGCAACATTCCACACGCACGACATGTCATCCAGTTGGAAAACTTGCCCGCCGGGGCACCCAACGGGGGCTCGCGGACGTTCTTTCCTCCGACCGCATCGCAGTATTTCATCGCGAGGTACGGACTTAGTTCGCGCCAGGCTAGTAGTGTCACATATGCACGCCAACTTTGAGGGCAAAGCTGGCGCTCGTAGGCCGTATTTCGATGTTATGCTCTCCTCAACGCGTGTACTTGCTTCATCGGCTTTTTCTCTGTAATCTCGGGTATCGCGTGCGACGCTAACTGATTGTTCTCTTCAACAATCCTCCCGCCCGCGATGCGATTTCGAACTAGGTTCACCAACGCCGGCGACACGGTGCTAGGAGTTGGCGTCGAAAGTACAACAGTCGCAGAGGATGCCATCTCACGGGGGCGCCGGGTCGAGTTTTACGTGACGGATGAGTCCAAGCGCGCTAGTCTGCAGGCGAAGATCAGCTCGACCTTTCATAAGGCGCACAGCTCGGGCATGTTCCAGGTGGGGACGTAGCTTCTCGGGGTATGCGGCTTTCACCCGTTTGCTTTTCTCCGCGCAGATGCATCTAACCCTAGTTTGAAGGCCCACCCTGTGTGTGTGTGGTACGATGGACTTCAGGTGCTCATCATCAACAATCTGGCTTGTACCTGTGCGTATCTATTTTAGACTCAAACCCGAGTCACCACCTCCGTATTTACCGCCGCCTCCGCTTCTTATGTCGCGCAAGAACGAAGCACGCGTGTGGCGGCAGCTAAGTTGATCGAATGTTCTGATTGGTGACAGTAGTACTGGGGGACAGCACACAGCACCGCACAAAGTGGAAACTGCAATGTTTGGTCCGGATACCCTGCTTGTGTAGCACAGCAGCACACAGCAGTATCTTCGCCTAGTCCTGCCAGCACAGCAGCACATCCTGAGCAGGATGACTGGAAAGTTTTGTCCCAGTACGCCCAGCACCCAGCACTAAATAGTGAACTGTTTCGTGACCGCGGGTCGGGTGGTGCTTTTGAGGGCTTGCCCCCGCCAAAACCACCCCTCGCTCCGTGCAATGAATTTTTTGGTCGCATGGCACCCCCCCGTGCTCAACCCCAGGTAATGTACGGTTTAAGAAGTATGGAGCCGAGGTTATTCAGACTTCGTCGTCGATGAGGTTCGTCACCAGTGCTACGTGGCGCGTCGTTCGTGTTCGATTGGCGAGTTTGTTGATGTTCTGTCCCACCCGGAATGACTCTGAAGCCCTTCCCGACTCCATCGCTTTATCCCACTGTACCCGCAGAGCCGACGTGTAGGGAAGGAGGTTGTGGTCGGTCCGAACTGCTTACCTGCTGGCCTTCCGCCGTCCACTGTGCCCGAGCGTGTGTCCGGAGCCCTCAAAGCGGCACTGGAGAAGGAACCAGACGTTCTTACGGCATCTTACAACGTAGCTCGCCAAGACGACCCACCTCACCCTTCAGGTTACCACGATCAACAACGANCCTTCCGCCGTCCACTGTGCCCGAGCGTGTGTCCGAAGCCCTCAAAGCGGCACTGGAGAAGGAACCAGACGTTCTTACGGCATCTTACACCGTAGCTCAGACGATCGCCAAGACAACCCACCTCACCCTTCAGGTTACCACGATCAACAACAAGGGAATGTGCTTGGCGCAATTTCATGCGCGTCACCCATCGTTGGAAAAGTCTAGTGTACGCGGGACTTCTCTCGGTTTATTTACGTGTCTTGCGTCTGAAGTGTTCTTGCCTGCAATTGCTGCTAGGAAGAACACCCCGCTGCGTCTTCGAATCTTTCTCGACTGACTGCAACCCTCACACCCGCACGTTCCTTTCTTTTTTTTTTTTTTTACCGTCCCTGCAGGGTGACCACCACAGCCCCAAGCTAATGACGAAGAAGCCGAGGAGAGCCAGTAAGGCGCGGAAAGAGGTGTCCGACATCCCCGTGTGGGGCGAATTGATCGTTTACCCTTCGGCCCAGGCCGCCAAGGATTCGCTGACCCAAGAGGAGGTGGATGAAGAGTACGTTCGTCTCCTCCGAATCGCCACCAACGCTTAGCTTCAGCTTATGCTGGAACCGGGTACGGAGCGTTGCACTCCTGAGGCAGGGTTGTACTTGAGGGTGGCTGCGACGTGCCCCGTCTTTTGGGTTAGGTCGGAATCAAAGACAAAGGCCGACCTTGACATTAGCTGTGATATCCCTCAGCGCGGCCTTCGGGCGAACATTCTAGAGACTTTCAGCTCTTCTGGCGACGGAAGTAGTGGTGGTGCGGTGAGGGTCCGTCATGTTCGAAACAAGCCTTTTTGCAACAAAAAACTACAAGGAAGAGGCTCTGTTCGTTAGCACGGAATGTCGGCGAATCGTTGGCTCGTTGATGTTCGACTGTGTCGTAGCAGGCGTTCAGGACGGGGAGGAGGATGAGGATGAAGAGGAGTGATCAGGCTTTTTAGCACTTGTCGGCGGTGCTCAATATCAACACCAGGGGGATCGTGCGTAGCTCTTAAAATATAGGTAGGTGGCGATTGCTCTCTTTTGGGTATCTGTTTTCGGCCGTGGTCGTGTTCTTCGGCTGTGTCAACTATCAGTAAAATAGTACGTCGCGATGAACAGAACCCGCGTGGTTTCACAGAAACTTTGGGTCACTGTCTTTCTAGGTATTCAGCAACTTGCGTCTTCCCGGCTGTGCAAAACGGGCACCATTCTTATCTTGAAGACGGCACCAGTTCACAAGCTGTACATGTTCAATCTTCATGTACACTTTCGAAGGAGCTAACACTTCCTTCTCCCGAAGTACCCTCCCTCAACACATACACAAGGCGGTGTCGCAATAATTGTGCAGTGTCGAAAGCCTCTGATCAGTCCTGTCTCCGAGGATTTTACTGCTCGTCGTGTTTTTCGCCATGGCAACAACAGGTATTTGGCGTGCTCACCAACGCCTGTATGAACTATTTCTGCCCGCGGTTACCCCCCGAAAGCGCTTTCGATCATAACTAAATCCAAAGGGTGAACACAAGACGGGGGTGGTGTTCATTCCCATTTCAAAATTAGTTCCCATTTTTCTCGCAACCTTGTTCCTTATATTCTGACATACATGTGGTGCCCACGTAACGGTTGGTAAATTGACACGAAAAAATATTCCGCCGCACGTTGCCTGGCGAAGGCCAGCAGCGGCGCAGCCTCAAGGTAAAAAAAATTCAACCCCAGCTGCACCGCTGCACCGCCGGGAAACCCAAAGGTCGCGCTCCCTCATCACCTCACCCGACACGGAGTGAGGGGATGGCGCGCCTTGCGCGAGGTAGAATCCGCCACGAGTGCTATGATGAGTGTATGCAGGTTCTAGTGCTTGCTGTGTTGTGCACGCTAGCTGGAGAGGAGGACATGTTCCTCGTGATGGCCATGTTTGGCGTAGCAAAGCTGGAGACATGTCTCCTCTCGACTCCCGAGAACTACACTCCGCGAACTACACTCCCCAAATCCCAACCGCCGCCTAGTACGTGCGCCCAGAGCTACCGTCTCTTCCACCAACAACTGCTGTAACCTCTCCCTTCACGGGCGGTGCACCCGACTAGCTGCTGTTGTGGTTATCTCCCGTGTGCTTCGAGTCCAGATTCCAGACAGACCAACCTCGGAGTGTTTTGTTCTCGATCCCGCGATGAACGCACACGATCCTAACCGCGGCTTGACGTTCCCCTATCGCGATGTACTCCCGGGAGCGTTTTGTTCACGTGTGTGGGTGTGCGGGAAGCTGCAAACGAGCTTGCCGACTGAGTTGATGCCTTCGTGTGTGTGTGATGGCGCTCGTGTCAATTTGTCGTTTTCTCTTGTCAAAATACCTCAGGTGAAAATATTTTGACCACGTTTTCGGTTTGTTGGAATATGCCGACTGGCTTTCGGAGAAATCCGAACGGACCGCCTGACGTTCCTTAACGTCAGGCGGTCCATTTTTTGAATTTCTCAGACTTTTCGGTTTGAAAACGTACAGCATTTACACACCACAGCCTTCAGGCAGGCGGCAGCGCCA